GGGGCCGCAGCCCCGGCACCGCCTCGGCTGCGCCAGCCACTTGTGGGCCTTGTGCAATCACCCGCTCGCCTGGCGTGGTAGGAACGGATTGTTTTTAAACCAGAATACTTTTTTTTATTATTATTGTTACGGATTCTATTTTTTTTCTCTTTCCGAGTTACCAGGTGTGTGTATATATAAATATCTATATATATAAATATAAATATTAAAAAAAAAAAGAAGCAGAAATTATATATCTTACCCAGAGAGAGGAAGAAACTACCCTGCTCAGGGCCTGGGCCCCCCCCCCACCTTGTCCCTGTCCCCAAAGGAGGGACGTGGGGCTGCCTCCTGCACCCATGGAAGGAGCTGTGGTAGGTGCTGGGTGTCACTGTTCCCTCCCTGAAGGGGCCAGGGGGTGCCAGGCACCCACCCTTGGACACTCCCCTCCCTGATCCGTGGTGTCTGCAGCCTCCAGCCCCCTTGGGGGGCCCCGGGTGGGGGCAGGGTGGGGGCAGCACCCCCACACCCCCAGCCCGAGCTGGCACAAAGGCCCGGCGTCCCCCACGCGCAGTTTTTGCTCTTTGTTCTCTTTGCCCAGGGGCTGTGATCGGGGGGTTGTTGGTTTCGTTGCCTTTTTTTATTTCTGTTAATGATTCCGAGGAGGTTTCTCGCTGTCGCAGGGGTGTTTTTATTTCCACTCGCTCGGGGGAGAGGCAGGTGCATCCCCAGAAAGCAATATTTTCTCATCACATGCCAAAAAAACGCAGCCAAGGAGCCCTGTGCTCCCTGTCCCCAAAGCCCTGCCGGCACTATCGGACTCTTTCTCTACGGCAATAGCTCCCGTGGCCCCGCACAGCCACGCCAGGGTTTTTTATTATTATCAGCCATTTTAAAAACAAGGAATAAAAGGATATTTAATGAGCCACCCCGGGGCCGTGCGTGTGCTTTGTTTGGTGTCCAGGGATGGAGCAGCCCCTCCAGGGCTCCTGATCCTCAGGGTCTCGGCCTTCCCCCCCCATCCCGAGGGAGAGAGAAGGGGGTCTGGTAAGAGCTGAGCCTGGCTCACTTTTGGGGAGGCTCCGACTTGAGGCAAACTCTGCTGCCACAGAAGGTAAGGATTTTCCAGGCATGGGAAAAGAGGCTCCAGGGGAGGTGTCGTGGGTGCTGGTGAGGTTTGGGATCCAAAGGAGGGCACCCTGCACGCTCCAGGGACGCTTTGGTTTGGGCTCCACCGTGGCACCCGAGGGTCACAGCAGCCACGGCCACCAGCCCCTCCTCAGAGCAGACTTTGAAAGGTGACTAAAAAAGAGGCTTTGATGCTCCAGGTTCTTCAGGTACAAAAGTCCGAGGTCAGCACCCACAGAGTCCGTGCCCCTGGTCCTGGCGGGCTGCAGGGGTGTCCTCTTAGCCAGGGGGGACAGGCCAGCCCCAGTGTCCCTGGGGTCAGCCAGGGCTGTTCCTATGAGCCAGGGGATCCCCAGGGCGACGCCGGCGTGGCCTCACCGTAAGCTGCTGCTGGCCTGGGAGCTGCCCACCCCCGGGTGCTCCGGGCTGTGCCGGTTCTGCGGAGGAAGGACAGACAGAGCCTGTGAGAGCTGCTGGCCAGCAGCCCCTTGGGGATGGCCATTCACAGAGCCCCTCGGAGGTCCAGGGGCTGGGCACCGCACCCCAGCCTTGCCACTCACCTTCTTTTTCTTCTTCTCTTTCTTCTTCCTCTTCCGCTCTGGATCCTCCTCTTTTTTCTTCTTTTTCTTCTTGTGGTCAGAGTCCGAGGGGGTTTCTGGAGAAGCAGAAGCGCCAGATGAGCCGATGCTCTGCCAGTGCTGAAGGGGAGCAGGGGGGCGGCTGTGGCAGCATTACCTGGGGGGACGGGGTCCTGCGTGCGGCTCTGTTTGTGCTTGTGCTTGTTCTTCTTCTTAGGCGGCTGGATGTGCATCAGCCGGCACTGCTCGGGCAGCTGTGGAGAAAAGGGGCTGGTCAGGCCACACCGGGTGCCTCCCACCCCCCCGGCTCCAGGCCCCGGGGCTCACCGGGCCGGCGTGCAGGCGGAAGCCGGTCAGCATGGCCCCCGTGAGCGGGGTGAAGGAGCTGCCACAGATGGGCGGCTTCTCGATGAGCGAGCGCAGGCTGCTGCTGTCGTGGGAGCCGGGCAGGTCGATCATGCCGGGCAGGTCGGGGAGGAAGTTGCTGAGCTTCTCCTTCACCTTCTTCCCGCAGAACTTGTTATAGGCGTGCTCCAGGTTATAGTGTGTGATCAGGTTGGTGCTGCCCGTCAGCTCCGTCGTGCCTGTGCGGCCGCGGGAAGAGTTGGGAAGGGGGAAACGCCCCGACGACACCCCAGGCCCCTCTCCCCGGCC